AATCATCTCTCCTATGAGTTGACACTCTCACTTCAAAACGAGGCTTACTGTAACATTTCAAGAAATGCATGTATATGCATTAGCATTCATTCTGCTGCTATGCATAGGAAAGCAGAATGCCTCGTTTGTCTAGATGCGTATCAGAGATGCGCATTTAAATTATGCGTAATTTAAATATTAAAAAAAACTAATTGTAAATTATACAAAATACAGGAAGTGGTCCTTGGAATGGCTAAAGGGTAGACAGTAAATCTCTGTGTGATAATATGCAAATAAGATGAGAAATAAACACATGTTGAATGTGATGATTGACGTTAACAGACAGACAGTCATTATTTATTTATTATTTGTATTCAAATTTGTTTAATAATCATAGAGATAATGCATGTTACTACCTGCATCGATCGGTTCCTTATTGAAAGTGTTAGTATGTAGGGATTTGACCAGTATCACGTTAGATCACAAATTGAAATCAGTTAGAAAACTAGTGAAATCCAGGGAGTAATAGGCAGATGCTGTGTCCTAGTCTGGGGTTTTCTAGTAGGAAGGTTCTATGACCCCACGGGGGATCGGTGCCAGTTATTAAACCACTCTACCACTGAGATGAAATCCACTGTTCACGTCATGAATTCTAATTCCTGCCAGTTCACGAGATATGGAGCCGCTACCAGACAATGTCATCAGCGACTATTTGTCCTCATATACAGCTTGGTAAAGCCCACTGGCTAAGAATTCCTACTAGGACTCTAGGTAGTTGCATCCGGGAGTGAGCGACTAGTCAGCTGTCTCAGCAACTGAACGATCAGTGGACCGAACTTGTAACCTGAATGTTTTAAGTCTGGTCCCTTATGTGGTCTTAGAAGAGGACTGCTTAAAACTCAAACTAGGAGGCACCAGCTGTTGTGTACAAATTATAACGTGATTTACCCTTATGGGTAAAATTTATTTTGGTAAGGTCTCACAGTGTTATACAGCAATATTTACTAATGACGTTTCGAGCACAATTTATTGCTCATAATCATACCAAGATACTCACACAACTTTCTAACTTCGTTTATATCATTCCATTATTTTCCATCGCTTGATTTGATTGACAGTAGTATTTTCCATAAATTCCGGTATGAGTGATGAGTCATTCCTATTGTACGTGTTGGGTGCAGACTCGATGAACAAGGATTCAGTAATCAACCTCTCTTTCCACCTACCTATATTACTTCTTAGAATTTCAACCATCTCCCACCCTATTGTGTGGTTTTGTGTTAATTCATGCAGTGTAATCGCTGAGCTTTTTTCTAAATTACTTATCTTCTCGGGGTCAGTTATTCTTACCTTAACTAGAGTCCAATTTTCCGACAATCAATCTTACTGCCCTGATCTACTAGTTTCACCTTTGTAGTTGATTTAGCTCACATTCATTGCAGGGTATTTTGTAAATGATATTATTTTGTCTAATTGGGTCAACTGAGTCCTTTGACCTACAGAACTTGTCCTATCTGAGTGAGTTTGTAGGTTTAAACGCCACTCTAATTCCTGCTTTATTGAGAATTCTAAGTAGGCAGGGTCACAGATGTACCTTCTTATATGGTATAACAGTAGGTGCCTTATATTCTCTGTTATTTATGTTATCATTACTAGTTTAACAATTATTTTTACTTAGAACAATTAGTCCTCTTTGTGAATTTAGATAAAGCAAAATGAAGATGTGATTTGTCTGAGTCGATTCAGTCATTTCTCTTAGTGACCTTGAGCGTGACTGGATACGAAAACGAATAGGACGTCCACATCAGCCAATGTAGTGTTTTCTGTAGTCGTCGCAGCTTATTTTTTAGATGATGTTGGTTCTATCTTCTTTCGCTGTTGAGTCTTTGGATTGACAGCAGTCACGTTCAAGGTCATCAGGAGAGATGACTAATAAACTCGTGGAGAAATTTAAAAGCTCACTTCAAATTGAAGTATGCGCTTACGATGTTGCCTGATGGTGGGGCAATGAAGCTTCGCAAATACAAACCATCCAGCTCAGAGAACACAACTACATCAAAATCATCTACCTGAGGTACAAATCTTCTCCACCATATCTACAGTAGTAATAGGAATGGTGCTGAGAGGTTGGATAAAAGCCCGTTTGACTTTATGTACGATCTGATATTAAATTAAGGTGTATAAAAGTGCGAGCGTACACTGTAGTTATATTGCTCACAGATAGGTGAGCTCCGATAATGACACTTATTTCTGGATGGCTATATGAGTCTCTATTGACAGATTTATTTGTATTCAGATTGAATTAAGCTGGATAGCAATGAGTAGGAGACCTTGTTTCAAGATTTCAAATGGGAGTGCACCATTTTAGTACTTCAAAAACAGACTAATTCGATTTTTTGATAGTAGCACTTGATACTGATACATGATACTCGGTAGCATTGCATTCATTTAATGAATATCTTCCAAATAAAAACACTGTTCTCAGGTACCATTAAAGGCTTGTAGTTTTAAGCTTTTTATTCTTAAATGTTTACCGTCTGACGACATATTTAACCTTGGAGGCTCAGTATTTGAGAAAAATTCATTAAGAGTTATCTACAAAGTCAAAAGAAACCTCTTGAAAATGCTGAGGCGTTAACCATTCGGTTGGAAAAGCCTGATTAATTTACACAGAAGAAACTTTCTCCCCCTCTTCTCCTACCTTGGGTGAAATTCCAAGCTCGGTTGTTATCAGTATGTTAGTATAATTAACAATCATTTTCTTTATTAACCTTTTGTTCACTTTAGTCACCTGATACATGATATATTTTGATACTTGTGTCTACGCTGTTACATTAACACCTGATTTTTCTGGTCACGTTTGGGTGTAATGCAACTATTAGTCTAGACGTACTGATTTCCATCCGAACAGCCCTAATAACTCACTGGCAACGTCTTTGACTGCAGCACTGGGTGGCGTAGGTTTGAATCGCAGGGAGGACATACGTTCCTTCTGAGTTTCAGATATGCCTTGCTGACGAGTGCCAACAAATGCGAAACCATGGTCCAAAGGTTCCTGCCGATTGGCTCCAAACACCTAACAAGCTCAACGGATTATATATCGGAAAATTCAAAAGAGATATAGACCAAAGAGAAAGTGTGGTTGACAGTGTAATAAATTTGACACTCTTAGCTACAATTTGACTAATTTTCACTGTTTTGAAATATTTTGATATTGTAAATAATATTTCAAGCTAATTTATTTTCATTTGTTTCATACATTCATTCCTCTTAATGAATTTGAATAAAGCAAGAACAACAGTTTTTGCAGAATAAAATGGTACCATCATTTATTTCGTTGGCTTCTCATCAGCTGCTTATAGGCCAAAGTCATTATTAAATATATCTACAGAAACAATTCTAACATACTTGTACAAGAATCAATCAATCAATATATGCATACAGTATACATATATATATAATATTAAACACTATTCCGAACAGTAATGATCATATTTCATTGAATTTTAGATTTTTCCGTCGATTGATTGGACGTAAATGCTCGTGTCAATCTAAGACCGAGCACTTCGGTCCAGTCAATCGACGGAAAAATCTAAAATCCAATTAAATAATCAATGTGACCCATAGCAAAAGAGGTGGTTCTCGTCACCCAAGTGGTCTAGTGGATAACGCTTTGGCGTTTGTAACTATGGGCACTGGGTTTGTGCCTCGGTGGGAACGTTATCACTCACTGCGGAATACAGATACTTCCAGATGATCAGTCCCAAATAGGACGAAATGCTCACACTGGATTCCACTGCCAGTCACCATACACCAAATTAACCTTTAATAATGATCATATACTATAGAAACTTCCGCATTACGTAATCAGACGAAAAAGAGGTGAAAATATCCAGTTACCAGAGCAAAGAAAGACTGATAACTGCTTCTTTCTGAACGCATAAGTCAGGTTTCAGGCGCTTGATGGAAATGGCTTCAGCAAACTTGAGGAGAATTGAGCTCTTTTGCCTATTGATAATTTTGAATGACCTTGCAACTTCCACCTCATGACCCATGTCAAGGAGATGCCTAGTGATGGCACTGTTTAAAGCATTTGTTCCCTTTAGACGTAAGCTTTTTGGTACATGTTCAGAAAATCGTAGATATGTCCTTCTTTCTGTCCTTCCAATGTAACTGCTCCCGCAGATACATGTAAATTTGTATATACAGTTGAAGTTAACATGAGAAGGATATCTATCGATTTTTGATTGCACCAAAAAGCAAGTTGTTCGATGGACGAGAACCAACTTAGCTAGCTGTAAGGTAGGCCTCTGGCTAGTGATATACTGTCTTCTGTTGACCACTGCTGCAATGTTTTCACCTTTATAATCAAGCTGAATGTAGATTGTCTTTTTACCCACTGTGATTTGTTTTACATTTGTGACTTCAGATCTTCCATACTTGTTGATGAACCTTTGAGGGTAACCATTGGTCTTTAACATCTTTTCAAGAAACTCAAATTCTTCCTCTAATTTCTCTATACAGCATAATCTCCTAGCTCTATATTATACAGTCTTGACTAATCTACGTTTGAAGCTATTTGGCCAAAAACTATTAAAATGTAAGTATTGTCCTTTCCAAAAAGGCTTGACTGAGGTGTAGTCAGACTATTATATGATCCAAAGTGAAAAAGGTTGAATGACAATAATATGGCTTAGTAAAGAGGTTCGCAATTGACTTTAACCAGGAGGTGAGCCTTTACCCATAGCGTCCACAAGAGTTGCTTACAAAGTAAATGTCCTACGAGTATATTTAAAAGGTAATTGCAACAGTGTATGATAATCACGCGAAACTCTAAAGCAGTCGAGACATTTTCTTACATAAAGATATTTAGTTATGAGTATAGTTCATATACTGAACCCGTTTATTATAAATCATAAATAGAGAAATTATGATTTAAATAAATCAAAGTGAAGTACCTATTAAATGTGTTTTTATGCTTGACTGTATGGGATCTTTTTTTCATTCACTTCTTACCTAAGATTACTGTGGTGGGTCATGGTTCAGCTGCAGCTGATATTGCACTTCATCTCTTGTCAGAGAAGTCAGGTCGGCGAAATCCACCATTGTTTCACCGTGCTATTTTGATGTCTGGATCAGATCAGATGGAGGGAGGTTTTGTACAAAGTGTAGATGAATCCGAAGAGTATGCTAAACAGTTTGCCTATCAGGTAAGATGATGGTTTTTTCAAAATTTAATTAAATTTAAACTTTTACTTTTACTACAGTAAAACTCATCAATTAAGGTATAGGTAAGTAAGTTTTAGAAAGAAGGCTTCAAAAGAGTGTTGTCAAATATTTAAGTACTTGACAGTGAAAAACTAAGGTTATGTAGGGGAAAACCATTTGTTCATTGTCTTTCGAATGAAACATAGAACTTCAACCATTAAAGGTCCAATACCAGTGGCGCTGTTTTTACAGGATGGAGTTACTGCCATCATATTCAACTTTCTTGCCTTCTAAGCTTATTGCAGGCTAGGTAAGATATAAGAATGGAACCTGGACCTCGAGTATCACTGGACAGCATTCTAGAAGAGAACTGCAGGAGAAGTTCGGCAGGGTGGTGTAACATAATCGAATATGTTTGTTTGATACAACGCAGGGGAAATATTTTTTTACTGGATGACATTTTGAGTCTGAAAAGATAATCGCACAACTTAGAAATTCAGGGTTTTGTAAATTTTCAAGTGCCTACATTAAGGAATACTGTGATTTAGCAAATAGCAACAAATTGTGCTCGAAACGTCATTCAGTAAATAATACAATGCTAGTGTTTGTCTTGCTGAGTAAATCAGCTAACATAGAACTTTTGGTTATAGTTTCGTTTTAAGATTGGTCACTAGCTGATGTCAGTTAGAGAACCATGAATTGGTGGCACAGCGGTTAGGAAGCTCGCTGACCATGCACATTGTCCGAGGTTTGGTCCCTGGCTGTCGCACACCTGATATCAATGGTTAGTCTGCTAAATTTGGGCTACCGATATCACATACTGAAAATTCCATAATTGTACCTAAAATACTGTGTGGAATCAAGCTTATAATAGAATATGAAATATAGAAAAAATATATATAAATCTGGGAGCACTTCGCAGCCCTTTCGTCCTAGTGCGAGGCTTTTCATCAGTTCTCACCAACCGGGCCTCGATGCTCACTAGCGACTATCCCTATGCAGGAAGTACCTGGGGTCCTAGTGGGAAGTCGTAACCACCGGATTCCGCCAAGTCAGGCAAGAGGACAGTTATTTGCTGGTGACAGTGGCTGGCGGCTGTGCTAAAAATGTACCACGAATTGGCAGAAGTTGGAATTCATGGGCCGTCAGATCGGGTTCGAGTGGTTGAATAGTATACGAACTTACCTTGTAGCCGGTAGGTCCCGGATTCGAAACCCAGTGGGTGCGTACTGCGATTGCCAAACTGGGATGTTACAGCTGTCTGGCTGTATTCCCTGGTTTTCACTGGTTCTCTAACTGAAATCTATCCCTGGTCAAACTCGGAATTCTACTTAGTTTTCAGACAGATATAAGTCAGTGATATGAAGCAGAACTTCTACTCGTCTCATTGAGTAACAGCAGCAAACTTATCTTATAATCCCCTAACTAATCGTAAGAATCCCGAATGCTTGCAGCTGTAATTTGCGTAAACCATAATGTAAAATGAAAATTTGTCTCTTAACTAGTTGGCACAGAATAAATTCCGAAGTGCCACTGATCCACCAAAGGGGTGTGCAGAAAAAGACTCACCGTGGGTATTGGATGCCGGTTGTGCTATATTGATAGAATTGGATTCTAACTCCTTGTTTCAAATATCAAGGCGCTTAGCTTATAACTTACAAACCAGGACCTATTCCTGATGTTGTCGGGAGTGCGCCCTGATGATGAGTTCCAAACTAGTGTGAATCAGATGTGCGGCACTTCTGGGTTTCCGAAGGTTCACTAAGTAATATCCGTTCGTGGAGGAATTCACCCTGAAATTAATCAAATCCCTACAACTCCTTACATGAATATTTTCTTTATAATCCTGGACATAAATCTTGCGACAGAATCGAACTCCTGAGGTTTCTTTCGTTGAATAACCTACTGATGTCAAACCTTGTGCTTTTTCAACCCTTATATATATATTTATATTTTAGGTTGGATGTGATACTTCATCAAGACGTTCAATGATTAGTTGTCTACGATCTCGTACTGCTGTGGAACTTTCAAATTCTGCCAGTCAAACAAGAATTCATCGGCCAAATTGGCTTACAAAACCATGGGCACCAAATTTAGACTATGATTTTATTCAAGATATGCCAAATTTTCTATGGAAAAATGGTCACTATGCTCATATACCTGTAAGTATCAATTTTAGGACTCTATACTAGATAACTTTATTTAGCATAACACAAATTGAATGATACAGTATTCATAACTGGATAACATTTTGAGTACAATTCATTATTCTTAAACATATCAGTGTGTTCACACAACCTCATAACTTATTTTATGTAGCTTTATTTCCTTATGTTTTCTATTACGACTTTACATATATCCGGAATAGGTGTTGCATCATTTTTGATTGCACTTGATTGGGGGTGATTCGATAATTAACCTCTCTATCGATTAACTTTTACCCTATCACATGCCACTGTGTGATTACATACAAGTAAATGTACTGGAAGGGCCAGTAATTTTAGCTGTACCTAAATCCCCATGATCCTATAATCTTCCCCCGAAAGGCATTACATGGCATTTGATAAAGTATATTGCTTTTCCTATCTGTGTATGTCTCGGGTCCTTAAGCCGAGAAAGTGTGTCTCGGAGCGGGTTGGTTGGTGTAATTGCCACCGTAATTCCAGTATTAATAAGAATCCTACGTGAGGCCTCTTACTTCCCTCCCCCATCCTTATATATCATGGCTATAAGGGCTTTGGACTTTGATGGGTAGTTTTTCAATAGTGATGTTTTCCTTATTTTTTTATTTCATTGTTGAAAGTCTTCTTACTTACCAGTTAGGCTTCTGGTTCGATCATACAAACATTTAACTTAACCTATACTCTCCTCTTATAGCTTTATTCCTAAATAACGCATTTCCTTTGATTTACTCTAGGTCATTGGAGGTTTATTAGTGGATGACGGGGTTTTTCATGCACTGGCTTCAATTTATCAGATAGGCAGTCCTTCAGACTGGAATTTTATCAGTCAAACAAATCAACTGGATACAGACTCAAATTTACCCAATCCAAATGTTGAGTTTTCTGGAATGTCAGTTGATCTCATGCGTGCAGGGTTTATGGAAATGGTAAAACGTGATTTTGCACTGGTGAGTGAAATTGCTTCATGGTTTTGTGTACTTGCTTCACCTCAATTAATATGTAATACTTTGATTCTAAGAATTTATACTTTTCTTAGATTTGGGGGAATATTGCTAGTGTATAAGGAAAAAGCTTTGAATGTAGACTTGCTACTGAACATTCAGCAAGTAGTATGTAAGTGATATGTGAAAAAATGTTTTATTCAGTGACTATACAATAAGGGGAATAATTGAGATAAAAATGATGCATCACTGTTACATTCTAATGCTGCAGCGAGTGACTCTGACAGCAGAATAGCCAACAGACTCTCGTCGAACAAATATATGGTAGGAAATTACAGAGATGGATTGCACAAACTCAGAGGTCTTCAAGTGAAACTAAATTCCAGGCCCTCTAGTGTTAAGCGAATAGGCGACGGCGGATTGGACATCCGAATGTCACATGCAAGTCGCCATGTAAACAGAAGATGGAGTCTTTTCCAGGCAGCCTTTGAGCTAGGTGACATTGATGGCAGACAGCTGAGTGAAGCTGAGCTGTTCCACCGAAGTCCAATGTTCTACTCGAAACGGAAGGAATGAAAAACAGTTTCAATTAGGCAAGGAATACTACAGAGTGTAAAATCTAGCCCTCAGTAATTTTGAACACTCTGGTTAATCCATGATGATATTGAGACAGTCAATATCTAACAGCTGACCAGCTTAAAATATTCAATACTAAAATTTTATCTCTTGTGTTACAGAAGGTTACATTTAAAGAAAAGTATCAGTACCATCGCTTATTAGGTGTGTACAAGTCTTTGATCATCAAAATTGCTAGTCTTATTAATGCAGTAAAGTGGGGGGAGAAAATTATCCGGTGAATCATTTATAGAAAGTAAATGAGGACAAACTAATCATCTAGGATCTGTGCATGTGTGAGTCTGTAGGAAACCTTCTCTGTCTCTCTTTTTCATACATGCACATTGTATAATTAACTGAAATCGAATGTGTGAGTAGTAAATGGCGACAGGAGTAAAAAGGTGCTTGATAATAACACTCTATGAATACTTGTGATTCTAAAATAAGCAACGGTAAAGCCAGATTTAGTGAGATCATGAAGTTTCATTAGAAATCATCATTTGAGTACCTTATATACCTTATTGAATTCTTTATAGTTGGAATAATATTGGATATGCAACTGATATAGAAAAAGCCGTAAATCAATCGTATCCAAGGAGAAGATGAAAATGTCTTGCGGATCAATTTCAGATACGTAAAGGGTGGAATTAAAAATTTAGGATTGTGATGGATTTCAATACGGTTCCGCCACTGTGATAAAGAATTAGTTACAGTTTCGCCCACAATCTGACATCAGTTACAGAACTATTGGAAAATCTGGAATTACTGGAGAGCTGCTCCGTCCTAGTTTGGGACACTTCATCAGTACGCAATCACTGGGGTTCAAACCCAGGACCTTCCGGTTATAAGATGAGCTTGTAGACCCTCCAGTCACCGGGACCCTATCCAGTAGCGGATGAATACCAGTAAGAAGTAACCAGTAGGGTCTGCCAAGTCAGGTAAGAGATCGGTTACTTTCCTATGACAATGGCTGGCGGTTGCGGTGTATTTATTACTAATCGGTAGTAGTTGGAATTCATGCGTCATCGGATTAGGTCCAGGTGGCTAATTGATCTATGAACTCGCCTTGTAATCGAAAGGTCCTTGGTTTGAACTCTGGTGGATGCGTACTGATGAAGAGACCCAAACTACGACCAACAACTCTCCAGTAATCTCAGGTTTTCCAATAGTTCTCTAACTGATTTCAGCTCTGAGTGAAACATCACTTGATATTTTAAGGGAGGTGCAAAAAAATTCTCACATTCTTCTTTGATAATTTTATTTTCATCATTATCATTTCATTTCTTATATAAATACACGACTAAGCGCATTTTCATCATGTTTCAGGATCCGGTCGGCATGACTGATGCACTATGCTTTTATTATACCTATTGGCCTGATAAAGACAATTCAATGAAACGATGGGAAATGTATCGTTCAGCTTGGACAGATCGATTTATCGGTTCAGGTATTATTGAAACGCTTAGGTATCATTCACATCCAAAGTTTGCAGAGAAAAAGTTCGATCCGGTGAACAATCAGTATCTTCCAGTAAATCGTACCCAGATGTATGTATTTGGATATATGTCGGACAATGATTTATGGGCCAGAATAATTGGTGTCTATCCTGGCTCAGAACTACAATACCTGTTTGGATTACCTTTATTACGCTTATATAAATCTCAAGAAAGTGTGAAAGAAGAATGGCCAACTGATTTAGGCCTTAAACCTCCTCGATATGCATACAATCAAGTGGATGTGAAAATGGCCGGTTATATGCTTTCATTTATATCAAATTTTGCTAAAAGTTCCAATGCTACACCCCAGTCAATTCGTAATCTAACCTGGGATACATTCAGAATAGAGAATGCCACATATTTATGGTTAAATTTAACATGGAACAATACCTTGTCAGAGAGTCATCGTCCAGATTTAGAAATTCAGGGGATTGGAGCTGGTTTTGATTTAAGACAAAACTATAAATTTCATAGCTATGCTTACTGGCGTCATTTTTATCCTAAACAACTTTTATGGCTGCCAAGATTTTCATTGCCAACACCTTTACCGATTGATTTGGAAGACTATCGTTTAGCGTCATTCTTTCTTGCTGGTATTTTGTTCATTCTGTGTATTCTTTTTGTGTCATTGTTGATTGTCTATTGTAGGCGAAGAAAAATGCTGACTTCCTGACTGTTTTTGTACTGTGTATGTGTGTGACTTTTATGGTTGGGTAATTATTTATTATTTTTCAGTGGTAATGATAACACTCTTGTACATCTACTACCCATCCGCTGCACACAATTTTATATATAGAAACCATCTAAAAACAGTGACAGTATGTTGGTGGAACGCACATATCTGACTTCAATCTAGACAGCTACCAACATCAAACCCTCATTTGTGTTTCTTACCTGAGACAGAAATTAAGGAGGTCCAGATAATTCACGTGTTTTGGCAGGCCAATAGATTAGGATCTAGCCTTTCGTGTTTTTTTAAACTTCCCTAAATCAAGACGTAATGTGATAAGCATTTAAAGTCATGGTAGCGTAGCTGCCTAGTAAATTCGTCTCATCAACGATAGCCATTAATTCAAAAATCAATAGAAATCAAGGGATTCTGGATCACTTCTTGTAAATCTGAAACAGTGAGCATCAGGGTCTAGATGCAGTCTCCTCAGGTTGCTGGACGATCAGTTTTACTATTTAGTCCTGTGGTTATTTTGTTTTATTTTATTGAGACACACAAACTTGCCGTAATGGGGACGCTGAGAGGTGCTACATACCAAAATAATAAAACTGATAATTCTTTGTTGTCTCATAATTTTTGCAAGAACATAGACACTGCTTAGAAGCCCAGATTAGGAAAGGTGGTCGTCTTAATGGGCAACTCCTTGAGTCTTTGATCTGAAGCCTGATTCTTAATGCAGCAGAGTGTTGTTAGGACCAAAACAGGCTTCTGTGCAACTAGGAGCCCATGTATGCCAAAGACTTAGACTCAGGGTTTCCGGCTAACCTATGTAAATCTCCGATTATAAGCTCCAAAAGTTCGTTGTTTCCCCTTCACTTTTGTGAGAACACCTACCAATGCCGCGTGAAGGCAGTTTGTAGGACTTATCCAGCAGAAGTCATGAACACGTGGCCACATGACAGTGTTTCGATAGTAAGACTGGAGTCTACCCACCCCATGATGTACTGGGTAATTTTAAAGTGGGCAATCTTTTGGCGGCAATCAAATAGTCAGCGAATTCTAAATTCTGTCAGTTGGCATTACTGTTTTTAAACCTGACATAAGCCATCGTTAAGCGTGTTCATCTAGTAACTAAGCAGTATTGGGTCCGATGGCTGGTACTAAACAAAGGATACATGTCCAGTTAAAAGCTGGTGTATGAAGGATTTCGCCTTGAAATCAAGAGAAATCGAAGCAATCTCAGCTACTTAACATCCAGCCAAACACAGCAAAATCAATCCCAACATAGTGTATGACACAAAAATTAACTGTGCTGAGTGCTGAGTGTCAGTCATTCAATCACGTTTCACATACACTCACACAACCGTTGGACAATCAGTCAAGATGAAAGTATGCAAAGTGGCAAGCAATAATTGTTCTTTCCCAGTTGACCAGCTTAAGCTCATCGTGAACACTTGCTGCATTCGTGATAATGGATTGGAATTCCCGCTCGCTGAAATTAGGTCCATTAAATAGCTTAATCTGAACACAACGTGACGGCTTTTCAGTTTACATTATGGTCAAAAACTAAACAGCTCCCTTATTATTTTGTTTCAAAATATTTGTTCCACTGTCATGATCGATAACGTCACGAGCACTAATTAGATAAAACACTGATTTAGATATTCAACTAATAATCGGAAGTCAGCTTCGCAAATTACTCTTGTACAGTGTTTCTTGATCTAGGTTTGTACTGTTAACAAACTTATTAGAAGGCGAATATCCTGACCACCTTAATTTTAATGAGAACTCGGAATCATGATGGAAAAACGATACACGCATAGAGTTCTAGGGAGAGATTGATATTTGTTGAACTATGAATTCTAAGATTTACCCTGAACTTAGTGCTGAGAAAGAAGTATTTCCTGTTCATGATAAGGATTTTCACTTGAACATGAATAGTAGCATAAGTGTGTTATGGATTAGAGGGGAAACAAGAACTTCAGCGAAGATATTATTCGCGAAATATACCCATTAAGACATTGAAATAAGAACAAATTAGTTCAGCGAAGAGTCTCTTTTCGGCGAATTCATTCACTTAGCTGTACAGTCGCAAATATATATACAATTATTTTGTGTGTCTGTGTATATTAGGTTTGTCAAAATCAAAATAACAGTTAGTGTGGGTTGTTGATTATACCATCAAAATAATGAAGAAGTTAAAATGTGTGATTAATAATCAAAGTTGTAACTAAGTGGGGTGAAGATTGGTAAGATGTGAGTAGAGTTACGTAGTATGGACATGTTTAGAAAGATTAGATGCTAGTGAAGGAGTTTGGAGACAATTATGAAAATAAACTAGATAATAGGTGAAAAGATTGAATGGGTTAGTTACTAAAAATTATTATACGAAAATTGCAAAAAAATTTGATAACAAAATGTTGATGACAAATAAACTTGGAATTAAACCCACGGTAGTAGGAGGGGGTGGAAAAGTTTCTTCTGTGTGCATAACTCAGGCTTTTCCATCCAAATCGCTAAGGCTTCAGCAATACAAAGTGTACGGAAGCTTGTCGATTTTGGAAGGCTTCTTTTGACTTTATAGATGACTTTGAACGACTTCTCCTTGCAAATCGAATGACCAGTGTTGAGTATATGCTCAATAATGGCGCTCCTTATTGCTCCGTTGTTACCTTTCCGTAGCCAGGCGGGATAGTGTTCTTGAACTCTTTTAGATAAAACACGCATCGAACGACCTATATACCTCGCTCCACAAGAGCAGGTGAATTGGTAGATACATATGGAAGTGGTCAAATGCGATAGTTTATCTTTAGAGTAGTTGAAGAACAATGGCCGGGAGGAAAATGTCAGTCGTAGTGTGGCAGCGAAGAATGTCCTTCTGAGAGCAGTAGATATCCTCTTCTTCAAGGTGTCAGCCAGAAGGTCACCTTTGAAGGGTACATTCATGTAGACCATCTTCTTCTGCACTGTAATGGGTTCTTCTTTGTACGTCTTAGGCTTAATGTGCTTGTCTTTAAAACGGGGTGGGTAGCCATTCTCGAGCAGTGTCTTCCTTAAGAGGTCGATCTCTTCCTCTATTGATTCAGGACTACAGATTTTTCGGATTCTGGTCGCCAGAGATATTATCAAATTTCGCTTGCGACTTATTGGTACCCAACTGTAGAAGTTTGTCAACTGACCGTTCCATGTAGGTTTTCTGTGTACTGATCTGTTCAAGGTACCATCGGTCTTCTTCCTCAGACGAACGTCCAGAAAGGAGATTGTCTCATTGGTTTCTACTTCGATTGTAAATTTGATGGCAGGGTGGCAACTATTGAAAACTTGAAGAACAATATTTTGATCACAATTGTGATCGCAGATGACGAAAGTATCATCGACACATCTTTTGGATGGAAAAGCCTGAGTTATGCACACAGAAGAAACTTCTCCACCCCCTCCTACTACCGTGGGTTTAATTCCAAGTTTATTTGTCATCAACATTTTGTTATCAAATTTTTTTGCAATTTTCGTATAATAATTTTTAGTAACTAACCCATTCAATCTTTTCACCTATTATCTAGTTTATTTTCATAATTGTCTCCAAACTCCTTCACTAGCATCTAATCTTTCTAAACATGTCCATACTACGTAACTCTACTCACATCTTACCAATCTTCACCCCACTTAGTTACAACTTTGATTATTAATCACACATTTTAACTTCTTCATTATTTTGATGGTATAATCAACAACCCACACTAACTGTTATTTTGATTTTGACAAACCTAATATACACAGACACACAAAATAATTGTATATATATTTGCGACTGTACAGCTAAGTGAATGAATTCGCCGAAAAGAGACTCTTCGCTGAACTAAGATATTATTCGGCAATTTCATTCTCAGTAGCTTTACAGTTGCATGTACATGTTACATGTACCTTTGCACCTTCGAGATAGCACAGTTACAGTTTTTTTCATAATTGAAAATGGTGACTTAGGTGATATTTAAAGGAGATAATAATTTCCAAACTGATATGACAGTTTGCAAGTGCGATGAGATACTATTGCAGTGAGAGCTCGCTTCAAGCCAAAGTCTATAGACAGCAATTTACATCAATGTTACATCCCAAATCGGAGTCATGAGGAAAAACTATAACAAAGCTTAAGTTTGAGGAACTCACCATCCAATCACAGCAGACTTAACGTGTGCAAATAGGATTCGCAGATATACGGCTTAACTTTCTGAGAAACGGTTACAAGCAGTACAGAATAACCTTCAGCAAGAAAACAACCAATCAGAAGACATTTCTTCTCCACTGACCCCAAAGGACATAAAAATCTATAAATATCTGTTGATTTTCTCAATCAATGATCTGTTACCTGGCCCTTGTCTTCTGTCGTTATACTATTGGTATTTCCTTAGGTTCCGTATGGAACATGCGGCTTCAACAGCAAATATTTTCGTTTACTCTTCAGTCCTCTTCCAATCGTTCCAAGACTGACTATAAGCTTTAACCTCCCTATCACACGATCTCCTCACCCTCGAATCAACATCAATCTCGTTGTTTCCCATTCAGGTCCCACTTGAGGATCTGTGTGGCACGTATTGCAACCCAACGATCTCTTCAGCCTGTGTACAACGTATCTCCATTTCGTTTTTGGCATATTTATTGGCGAATAGGTTACTGATTGGTTGGTTTTCAGAGTTTCTTGTTACCAATTCCTTCTGACTATCTGATCTTCACTATGGGGGTGAAAGCAACTGTTGACAAGAGTCTAAGCACATTGTAGGAGATACTGTTGGTGACGCACCGTCTCTCTGGACCATGTAAAAGCATTGGTTGACATGACATAAGTTCTGTACATTTGAATCTTGTTCTTTATGCTGAGTGCAGTGGATGAAGACAGTATTATTCACAAAGGGCATAGACATCAAAGTAGTAGAGGACTACGAATGTAACTGCATAATTATGTAATATAGTTTTGATCGAAAACAGATGTGATCAAGATGGACATAAAAATAGTTTGGAATAACCTTTAACAAAGTGGGGAAATTTTAATTCCAGGCCTCCATTCAGCTGTAGGCATATATGCATAAGACTAATCGATTAAGGACATACACCTTTTTTATCCTATTCAAAAGAAGTTAGGCGTGTAGATTGTAGTTTAAGGAAACAAACATGAGCAACATTGGGTAGCATGATTGCTACAGCTGGCACGAAGAAGGGGTGGTAAATGGCTTAACAATAAAATGCTAAATAACCAGCGACACAGTTAATAAAGATTACGTAATAATCTACAGGAAGCGTCCAGATGCGATTCGAAATCAGCTAATTGAGCTCAAATCAATCGTACCGAAAACAATGATGGTAACATTAATAATAATATTGTTAATGATAATTATAACAGTAGAAAATAAGATAAATAATTGTGTTATAAGTGGGATAATTTTTACGAGAGTAAACTGAGACTAATCACACTGGTTAGAATGGAGCCGCTCAATAGCAATACATTCAGCAAACCGAAGTAAAGTTGAAATTGTTTGCTTGCTGACAATGATAAATACAGTTGGAAAATCCAAAATATGTCCCTGTTTGATTAGACGTCAGCTAATGGAGCTGGTAAGGGACTAGGAGCCTTGAAGTCCCTGGATTTTTAAAATATGTGCGGAGAACCTAGTGGAAGCCTATCTTCCAGTTCACCCAGTGTATTTGCTCTGAGACGTACACATTAGTTTGTAAATACAGTTGGAGATGAATTGTGATGGATACGTAGCCACTTTCAATTGATAAACAGAACGACTACCAATGTAAACAGGAGCAAGTTTAGCTGTCTGGTAGAATGTAACAAAGAGAACTGTTAATCTCTTGTTTATCCTGTTAGATTAGCCGGATAAATACAGGGCCTGTCATGACTGTAACAACGTTCTTTTCATTACCGCAATTTGCTTTCGCACACTATTATGAATTCCTTTAAATGGTCGCTTTCAGACATTTGTTTTTCAAGGAAACCCTACTCTTCATGCAATCTGTCTTAGGAGCAAAACTTTTGCACGTTGTTAAACAGTTACCCTATCTAATCTCTGTTTGTGATTAATTGGATAGAAACCAGCATACTGGCCAGTCAGAGGAATCTAGGTGGACATTCCTCTCTGGACTGCGTGAACATATCATTTTTTCATCTATAAATACAGGAAATGAAACTGACCTTCACATCCATATTGAATTGTGAAGCTGACGTTTCTATGTACATCATCGAAGCTTTGGTTTAATTTAAAAGTGTGGTCCACGGCCTTGCAAATCACGAATATATCATCCACATACCTTCAATAAAGACTAGTTTCTCTAGCTGCGAATTCCGTTTTGTTTACTCCTAGACTTTCCATAAATACATCGGCAAGAATAAGCTGTTTGCACCTGAAGAGAAGACTCAAAATTAGGTGGGAAATTTTTGTGCTGCAAATCTTGTTCTTCTTGCTTTGACAGTTATCATGAAGGAAATAAGTTGTATAAATTTCACATTTTATAACTGACAACGAAAAAATCAGGAAGAGGAACAAAATTGGTGGCCTGCTTGAATCTCTGGGT